TGCAATGGCCCATTGATAAACTGCGACTAAAATATGTTTTTCAGTGTCGCTGTCTTTTACAAAAGAATATGCAAATACATTCGCAATTTTGCCATGAAGCAATGGCGATAGCTCAAAATGTTTTATTTGGAATTGGTGGAACTATATTTATATATACATTAACAATGATGGTTTGTCCATAGGGTTTGTCCTATGGGCGCGCTTCATACGGGTCGACAAATATTGATATTTTCGAAAAAAATAATTACATTCTGCCTACCCGTTATTGATATATGAAGCTCCAACGATCTGGCATCATTTACAACAAGTTGCACACTTGAAAAACCAAAATTGACTGCATAAAAGAGGATTTATTGTCAACTTAGTCCATTTCCACAATACAAAATATACAAATTATCACGCTCCGTGGGAACGACCAATATGGCCGCCGCACGTAAACTGCGACTGCGATCAGGCTTCAATTTTCGCCTGCCTACAGGGTGGGATGCGCTATCTAGTGTATATGAGATATCTATGGGCAAAACCCTTGGCAAACACGACAAGAATCTGAAGGCAGTCATGGAGCGTGCTCAAGAAACCGGCGTCCGATGCAACCTAAACAAGTGCCAGAAGATTGCACGTGCAGAATTATCATTCTTTGGCCACAGCATTAGTGCTACTGGTCTCAATCCGGACCCCCGAAAAATTGAAAAAAAAAATAATCAGAAAATATGGGTCCCATCAAAAATATAAATATGCCATCAGAAAATATGCCAAAAAAATATATATATAAATATGCCATCAGAAATATGGATCCCTCTGCAAGTCTCGCAGACCTTCCTTGGAATGGTTCAATATCTTGGTCGGTATATTCCAAATCAAATCTGTGGAATATCGAAGTAAACTCTTCTCAGAGACAGAACGTCGCTATTCCAATATTGAACGAGAAATGCTTAGTATTGTTTACGGTTTAGAGAAATTCGGTTCAAATTCCACTACTATGCACAGTAGCGTAGCCAGCCGGACGATTTTGTCCCGCTATGCAAATATTTTCGTGTTCAGGGACTGTGAAAACAATCAATTTGTAAAGAAATGAATGACAATAATTTTGAATTTGCATAGCGGGACTAAATTGCTGGGCTGGCTACGCCACTGACTATGCATACGGTCAGCGTGTTACAGTTGAGACAGATCACAAACCTTTGGAGGCTATCTTCAAGAAACACCTATCCATTGCACCTCCATGTATTGCCAGGATGGTGCTACGTATCCAAAAATATAACGTAGAGATCAAGTACGTTCCGGGGAAAGAAATACCATTGGCCGACGCACTGCACCTGAACGCAAGTCAAACCAGAGTCCAGCATATACAGACCGAAACTGCCAAGGATCCTATTCTCAATTCGCTTAAACCCTTTATCAGCCGGGAATGGCCAGATAAGAGAGCGGATTGTCCACACATCTTCACGGATCCTGGAATTATCGCGATGAACTCACGATTGCTAACGGATTAATTCTCAAAATAACTTGCATCATCATACCAAAGAGTTTACAGCCAGAAGTCCTTGAGCAACTTCATTATGCACACCAAGGTGCAGAAAAATGCAAGCTCCGGGCGAAAGGTTCTGTATTCTGGGCAAGCATTAATGCTGATATAGAGAACATGGTAAAAGTGAGGTTGCAAGCAAATTTGTTGCTGGAAACGACACTCAGTTTACTTCATCAGGCTTCACGGAATTCAGTAAGGTATATGGTTTCGAACATATTACAACCAGTACTTACTATTCGCAAGCAAACGGGTTTATCGAAAGGAACGTTAACGTGCAGATGGTGAAGAGTTTGTTACAGAAATGCAAAGAGTCCAGAACGGATCCACATCTCGCTATTCTTTGTCTGCGAACAACACCATCACCTACAGAAATATTGAATTCCAGAACCTGTCAATCCAACCTTCCTAGTTTGTCTAAACCAACTTTGTTTCCAAAGATAGGCGCTGAAACTATAATGCAAAATTGCAAACAAGACAAGATCTGCAAAGGTTTTATTATGACATCAAGGGAAGTCATCATGGGATCCTCCACAAATGTACCATGGTGATAACGTTCGTGTACTCAACCCCCTTTGGTCACAAATGGGAACCTGGTGTTTTCAAGGACAAAGAACAAACACCAAAATTATATACTCTTGATATGCCTAGTGGTAGCACTTTAATGCGGAATCGTCGACATATTTGACCGAGTAATATATATCATTGTTCCAACTTCACAACCCAAAGTTGGAGGGACACGGAATGTTCAAACCCCGAAGCTGATCGGAGAAGATTTACTCGTGTTATTAAACGCCCGGACAAATTGAATTTATAGAATATAATAAACAATTAGTTAATAGCTTAATTTGACAATCTTGTTATAGCATTGTAATGCTTCGATAAATAGTTACGATCGTTATCGAACATTCAGTTAGTTTTAATTAGTGTTTTAGGTGAACAATTAATTAATAAATTAGTAAACGTTTAATTAGTGAACAATTAATTGACATTTGAACATTTACTTTTTGGTCAATTTAACTTTAGAAAAAGAGGGATGTCATGGTATACTGTGGACTACCATATATGGCTACTATTTTGCATGCCACGTAGTTAAATAAGATCGCCATCTTTGATTTTGTTAGTCTTATTTGATCTTTATCCCTACACATAATTGGATTCACAAACATACGAAAGTATAACAGAGATCAACTGTTCAAATTAGGATGATGACTTAGTCACGAAATGAGTTGGCGGAGTTGTACGGAAATTGTTTTTACTTGGCAGCGTCGCATTTTTGAGGAAATTGAAGACTGGATGGTATTAATATAAATTTATTTGTGAAAACTGAAAAGGTCCGTGCATTTAACTTTGGCCATGAGTGAAGTTGTTAGGCGTTAGAGGAAAGACTAGAGTCAGCCAAAGTCAAAAGTCATATATATGGTCAGTATGCAGACATCAAAATATTAGGAACTCATTTCACCGTGTATTGTGTTACACATATTTGTACATGTATACATGAGCTGTTAGTTAGTTTTTAGATTGTGTGGCATAAATAAAAATTGTTTCTGAACTCTGAAGATATTTAAATTCCCTTATATCACGGATCAGAACATGTCCTTTTTGCAAAAAAACGTCCACATGTACGTTACGATTTAGCATTCTTGCTTGAACTTTAATAAGCCCGGTTTTCATATATCGCAATTCAAAAAGAAAATCCTTCCCGATAGACAAAGAAATTTATACACCATTGACAATGGAGCTAGTTGAGCATCGCTGACGAATTGCGGTAGATGAAAACCAGACCTTAATTAAGTTGAAGTAATACGAGCAACAAAATTAATGTAACTTGAAACAAAACCTGGTTTAATAAACGTCTCTATTGAAATATTCACGTATAAAGTTAACATACCTAACTTCGCGAGTATTTAATTTCGCGACATTTTCGAGTGACTTTATTTTCGCGATTTAGATAGGCAAAAATACAAAAAGGGCTTTCAATTTCAACAAAGCTTTCTGAACATTTTACTTTCTATAAAAAATCTGAAATAACAACTTTCCAAACAAGTCAACATAAGGTCAACAGTGGCTAGTTAGAATGATAGTTAGAATTCGATAGTTAGAATTCGGAGGTGGAATGAGGGTCTTCCCGAAATGCAACGCGCGCCTCAATGCGGATCATTATTATTCAAGATATTTATTCTTAACGCGCCGTTCGATTAAAAACGTTGAAATATATTGCAATTTTTGCTGTGAAGATCCCGTTCTCTCAAAAATATTTTGTTGATAACTATTTTATTTGTTTAGTAATAAGTGAACATGACCTTCAAAGTGGCATTGAAATATTCATGAATAAATTATACTATTTTACAAGGAAACTAAAATAAAATCACACCAGTGAATTCAGGAATGTTTACTCTTTATAATGATACTTTAAAACATAATTTACTCCATAAAACCGAAGAGTTATCGGAGTTTGAAAATGAGATATTCTTGCTATATTCTAATAAAACTGTGAGAAAACGAGATTTTAATCGTTGAGAATAAATAATGAGCCACACAGAGGCGCGCGTTGCATATCTGGAAGACCCTCGTTCCTCCTCTAGATAGAATTTGTGCTCTCTTTATTGTCGTCTTTATTGTCGGTAACAAGACAAGATGTAAACTGTAACTTAATACTCTAATTATGTGATTAAATAACTTTATGTACATATGTGTGCTGCACATGTTGTTGATAATTTTTATAAAAAAATTCACGATTCAAATTTTTAACTAAAGCATTTAATTTCGCATTTGTAAATTTTGTTCGCGTGACTTTAATTTCGCGATATTTTTACAATCGCAAAAAATTAAGTAGCATTTGTTGGTGCTGTTTTATTTTTTTTACCGTTCCTTCGTTGCTCAACTGCCATTTTTGCAAAAAGTAAAAGCCAACAAAAAATTCAATATTCAATAACCACCTGTCAGGTTTAATATGACACAAAGAAACATTCATAAAAATGCATTGCCATTGTTACTAGATGCAAAAAAAATTTACATCTCCAAGAAACATGAAAATAAGTACTACAAAAAAGTTACAAAAACTATACATACAACTCTATATGGTATTTCTTTTTAAGCATGCATATATTATTTTAATCCTCGATAACTACAATTATCTAATAATTAATTAAGCAAACTGTAATCCTCGATAATTACAATTAGTACAGCATTTGCCACGATTGTTGGACTGCTTCTCAATGCGACCTTTGCTAATATTACTAAGTTCATACATTCTCCAAATTACTATAGAATTTACGTATGCAAATTTAATTTCGTGCACTAAACTACAACGAACAAAACGATGTAAAATTATGATACACATGCAATCAAAATTTCTATGGTTCGAGCCATTCATTAAACCCACTTTCATGTTATTTCCCAAATTGGAAAAATTAACGTGCATAGTAAATTAATCAATCCTAAACTGAACATGACTCTTGAGAACTCTATAATTTTAATCTTTGCCGAAGGTATTCATTTGAAAACTAGATTGCACGACCGGTGGTGCGTCGTCAGCCTGTGTGGCAGAATATATGTATTTTGAAGGTCGATTTCTTTTGAAGAAACCAAGCTGGAATGTAAGAGTGATAAAAATTGGCGTCACAACTTTGTAAACATTGTCTAATTTTCAATACAAACACTGTATACTTGGAAACAGATTTTGAAATAAATCACATCGACGTTCAGAATAAAGTTTGATCTGTACAAAACACACTTTTCTTCTCAATTGCTATTATCATTAAAATGTTTATACCAGTCACCTTAAACAAAGCCAAAATGGCGAGAGCAAGCAACAAGACAACACCCAATACAGCGACAATGATAACCCAGACTGGAGTTGATTTAGCTTTCGCAGATGTATTCTCAGGTGTATTCTCAGGTGTATTCTCAGGTGTATTCGCAGGTGTATTCGCAGGTGTATTCGCAGGTGTATTCGCAGGTGTGTTCGCAGGTGTATTCGCAGGTGTGTTCGCCGGTGCATTCTCAGGGGAAACACGAATCCTAACCTGAAACATCAATATTATCAATATTATACATTTAGGATTGATAAAGATGGGGTCGATTAGGGGTTTTGGTTATAAAGTATCTAATGGGTTCTTCATTCAGGTATACGGAACGTAGGTGCATTTTGTCTGCGCATGCGCGAGAATCAAATGGCGGACTTGTAAGGGGGCCGTGCGATTTCAGATGGCGGACTTGTAAAGGGGTTGTGAGTTTTGTGATGGTTTTTATGAAAAATATGGACTGAATTTTTGTTCGATATCTCAGAATTCGTGTTAATTCTACGCAGGTAAGGGTATTAGTTTTATTACAGTTTAATTTTCTCCAAAATTCATGGTCTTTCGTTTAAATTTTCGTCATTTGCTCGACGCGATGCTTGCCTTTATAGTCCCATTTGTATAGTCAATTAAGCATAAATATGTAGGTTACTCCCTCGTTTGGTGTGTTTTCTTGTTTTAAATAGGTTTATTATCTTTCTATGTTTGGATATTCTTGAATAGTATGAGTAATTAATTAACTAAAATAATAAAAATCTACTGCCATAATTTTGGGATCAATGTGATTGTGTGCATTTGGTTGAACAGATATCTTGCACTAAACCCTATACCTTTGCTTTAGGTTGAAATTTTCCAAAATAATATATTCTCCAGCCAAAATTTATTTTGCTATTTTCTCATACAGGTTGTATTAAGTGTTAAAAATGTAGCAATTCCCTGATCCCTGTTATTTACAAATATATTGATGCAATACAGGATCTGTGAGAAGAGCCCAAATTCCAAAATATATATTAACAAACTTCTATTTGTGCGTGGCGATGAAAAAAATCAATAGTGAGTCATACAAACCTCCCCATATTTTTTCTACAAATTGGATCAGGTGTCATGATGTAAAGGACGTCAAGTTTGACAGCACAAAATTGGGAAAAGGGCACTTTTACCACAGTCATGTCATGAGCAGCGCATGCTCCAAACATATACGGGCCTACCTGATGGTAAGTTGTAAAAATATTTTTATTACGTATTGATGAGTTTTCAGTGAAAATATTTTGTTGTAGAACAAGGTGTTATTCCGTTGTGTTACATTTACAAGATTTAATTGACCTTCAAGGTTAATAAATAGGAATTCTTAAAAATATGCGCATACAAACTTCACCTAAACAGTATATGTTCTTCCTAATCATCTGTCTCACAGCTTAAAATGTTTGATCATCTGAAAAAATTGGGAAAAATGCTCATTTTTAGCATCATATATGTAAATTAGACATACAGCCAGAATATTCATTCCCAACTTATTGGGTAAAAAAAAAAGGAGCCACCATTATTGTTGGGAATGTCGACTAATTAGACTTTGTTTTGTTTGGCCATACCATAGGCGTCGAAAGATCGATAAGTGGAGGGGGACCATATTCATATATTCGTGTTCACAGACCTTAAAAACAATCAATTTCAAAAGAAATTAATAATGCAGAACCCGAATATATGAATATGCCCCCCCCCCCCACTTTTTGATCTTTCGACGCCTATGGGCCATACAAACCACGCTGCTATGAGACTGGCACGTTAAATCGTTTCAATTTTCAAATCTGTCTGAGATTATCTCCGACTCTACCCAATAAGTTGGGAGTTCTGGCTGTATATCTGATTTACATATATGATGCTAAAAAAGAGTTCTTTTCCAAAATTTTTCCAAATGATCAAACACTTTTAAGCTGTGAAACAGATGATTAGGAAGAACATATACTGTTTTAGTGAAGTTTGTGTGTACAGATTTTTCAGAATTTCTATTTATTAACCTTGAAGATCAATTAAACCCCATAATTTAGCATTTGTGACCAGAAATGGGAAAATTAACAATATTTTTGTTCAGATAAATACCTCACCTGAACATTAAATCTTGTAAATTTAACAAAATGGAATAACACTTTGCTCTACAACCAAAAATTATCACTGAAAACTCACCAACACCTAATAAAAATATTTTTACAACTTACTGTCAGGTAGCTAGTCCCATATATGTTTGGAGCATGGGCTGAGGACATGACTGTGCTAAAAGTACCCTTTTCCCATATTTTTTGCTGTCAAACTCGACGTCCTTTCCATCACAACACCTGATCTAATTTGTGGAAAAAATATGGGGAAGTTTGAACGACTCACTTCTGATTTTTTATCACCACACACAAAAAGAAGTTTGTTATATATTTTGGAATTTGGATTCTTCTCACAGATCTTGTAGTGCATCAATATATTTGCAAATAAAGGGATCAGGGATTTGCTACGTTTTTAACACTCAATACAACCTGTATGAGAAAGTAGCAAAAGAAGTTTGGCAGGAAATATATTATTTTGGAAAATTTCAACCTAAAGCAATGGTATAGGGTTTGGTACAATATCTCTTTAACCAAATGCACACAACCATATTGATCCCAAAATTATGGCAGTAGATTCTCATTATTTTCGTTAATTACTCATACTATTGCTATTCAAGAATAAAAAAAACACACCAAACGAGCGAGTAACCTACATATCAAAGCTCAACTGACTATAGAAATGGAGACTATAAAGGCAAGCATCGCGTGGAGCAAATGACGAAAATTTAAACGAAAGACCATCATGAATTTTGGAGAAAATGAAACTGTAATAAAACTAATACCCTTACCTGCGTAGAATTAACACGAATTCTGAAAGATCGAACAAAAATTCAGTCCATATTTTTCATAAAAACCACGACAAAACTCACAACCCTCTTACAAGTCCGCCATTTGCAATCGAACGGGACGATTCTCGCGCATGCGCAAACAAAATGCCCCTATGTTGGTATACGGTAACACCGCGGAAAAACGTCTGCGCATGCGTTAACATTACTGAGATTACGAACGTGATGTCAAGAATTGATGTCAAGTGTTCCGAATGTTGTCAAAAACTCAAAATGGAAGCGACTTCGATGTTTTGCCTTTTCTATTGAAATGCAAGCGGAATAATGAGCGTGACATAATTGTAGTCTACATGATTGTGCAAGAAGTAGTATTATGCAAGAAAATAAACCAAAGGTGACTGTCGATAAATTTATTGTATAAAACGTTCTTTAACTCAAGCATACAAAGATATTTTTCGTAGGTTCATATGATCCACATTTTTGTCAATAACCTTTTTTTGCGTAGCATGTATAACTTTTTAATCGTGTGCAAATGCTTAACTATTCTATAGTTTTCTTAACTTTTCTGCTTTAAGTTCGGTATTCGACACTTTTTCAAGAAATGTTCACACGCCTCCCGGTCTTAAACGGTAATTTTTAAATTCTGTTTCTTTTTAGATTTTAAATGTAAAATCTTTTTATTCATGTCTAAACTACCCGTCTAGCGCATTTTTTTTTTGTTTCAATTACCTTAAATCATTAAATAGCCATGTTTTTGTTTACAATTTGGCATTGTAAACGCGGTGTTGTATACGAACATTTACACTGAATTATGTGCATTTGGCATATTTAGATTTTGTGAATTTTTGGTGAAGCTCGTTTAATTTAAGCGTCTTTTTTACGAGGTATTTGGTATACCACTACACAACTGCCAAATCACATAATAGACGGTTTTAGATAACAAGACGCGGACGTCAAGAGGACGTGGATGTCGTCATTTGGCGCCAACTATCGTCAGCTTCTGCTTTGCGACGTCGTCTTGGACGATTTCACGACGCGAAAATACAATTTTCATGTCCTCTCTAGAACGTCACAGATTTTTGCTTCTTTTGAAAAAAATATGAGACTATGCATAATAAAAATCATCCTATTTTGTTCCCCATGTATTGTTTAATGATACTAGCTAACGTTTTTCCATTGATAAGGTTGTTTTTCTTGTATTTCGCTAAATTTTAGACGAGTTGATTTTCGACAAATACTTTCGATCGCCATAAACAAATCAACAAAAATGCAAGTATTGTTAATAACCACTTCAATACCGCTAGCAATCATCACTGAAAACAAATATTTTAGAACAAACTAAACTGAAGTTATATTAACAACTGTTTAAAATCAGGAAAACGTGGGAAAGTAGAAAAATAAAAGCACTCAAAAGCAGTAAAAACTCAATCAATTTTAGTTGCTCTGTCACTACAGTGCAAAAAGTAGGACAAGCAAAAAAGCGCTTTCCAGCGTGAAAAGCTATCGTGACAGTATTAAATTTTACCAATATATACACTGATGCTATATTTATACTGAACAGTTGACAAAATTGATTGAATAGGCTACAATTAGCTCGTAAACAATACCTGCAGCTGTTGTATTTATTCCAAATGATGCAACAAAGTTCACTTTTCAAAATACCGAAATATAACGTTTTTTTCTAAAAAAAACTTTTTGAATGTCCATACTAATTCATCAGGAAACACTTGGTCAGTATTATATAGCCTTTTCTTGCACATATCTTGACAACTAATTGAAAACAATACAGGAATGAACATGTAACAAGAAAACAAAAATTTGCTTCGAAAAAGACAAACAAACCGTCCCAGATTAAAACCCAGAAGTGAACGCGAGGTGCATACGTTATTTTCACGTCATCTTGACGTCCGCGTCTTGTTATCTAAAACCGTCTAATGAGGAATCTTGAACACCATCTCATCATAGATATCTTATATAAACTAGATAGCGCATCTCTTTTAGTAAAATTGAAGCCAAGAATATTCCAGCGGTTACCCCCATTTGAATAGATGGCGGCCATGTTGGAGCTTCCCACTCGCTAATAAACACTTAAAAAATAACAATAACTTTCATCATTTGAATAGTTTGAAAATGTATTTATAATAGGATTAACTTAATGTTTAAGTTCCCTGTTTAAGAAATAGGATACATACGAATCTTCTCATTTCATGGGAATATCCTGAGCCTGCAATCACGGCTTCAATTTTTGAATTGCAGAATAATTAGATGCACTATCTAGTGTATATAAGATATCTATGCATCTCATACGGTATAAAAAAAAGGTTGAATAAAAATATGCAAACAATATAGAAAAAAACTTTTTAGATTTTTTTATTTCATTTTCCAGCTCCAATGTAGCATAGTTCGGCAACCAGAATAAAAATGTTATTACCGTACTTTACACCATGAAAAATGCACACAATATGGCAACGGCAACTTACAATGCCTAATGCTCGTGTCACTTGCGTCGATGGATCATCAAGAGAGTCCACATACTCGGCTTTGGCTTCTATTTCCACAAAAAGATCTTTAGGATAGTACTGCACAACAAAAATATTAACATTATGCCTAGAACAGCATTTTACTGCAGTTAAATGTACAGAACATTAATTGCAGCATTTAACGAATTAGTGCTCACTTAATGCTTTCAGTATTAAAGTAGCATAACTAATAATTATGCGATTAGTCATAAAGTTATTCCTTGCTGTGTAAGAGAAATAAAAAAACAGCAATTTCGAAATACTCCTGGGTATGGTAGATTTCCGAGCGACATAAGCCTCGTACTGGGTACTGGTAGGACGTCTTGGTAAAAAGTAGGCCTTGCTAGGAAGACGATCGTGGTAGAAAGGTCTTAGTAGGACGTAGCTCTTGGTTCTTGGTGCAAAGTAGGTCTTGGTAACTGGTAAGAAGTAGGTCTTGGTAAGGAAAATGTCTTTGTAGGAAGTAGGTCTTGGTAGGAAGAAGGTCTTGCTAAGAAGAAGGACTTAATGGGAAGTAGTTCTTGGTAGGAAGTATGTTTTGGTAAGAAGAGGGGTCTTGGTAGGAAGGTGCTTGTAGGACGAAGGTCTAGATAGGAAGCTTTTGGTAGCAAGAATGTTTTGGTTGGAAGAAGGTCTTGGTAGGACGAATGTCTCGGTAGGAAGGGGATCTTGCTAAGAAGAAAGTCTTGGTAGGAAATATGTCTTGGCAGGAAGATGTTGGCAGGAAGGTCTTGCTAGAAGAAGGTGTTGGTAGAAAGGTGTTGGTAGGAAGGTGTTGGTAGGAAGGTCTTTGTGAGAAGAAGGTCTTGGTAGGAAGGTCTTGGTAGGAGGAAAGTCTTGGTAGGAAGAGGGTCTTGGTAGGAAGGTCTTGCTAAGAAGAAGGTATTGGTAGGAAGTAGTTCTTGCTAGGAGGTATGTCTTGGTAACAAGGTCTTGGTAGGACGAAGGTCTAGGTAGAAAGCTTTTAGTAGGAAGAAGGTTATGGTAGGAAGAAGGTCCTGGTAGGAAGGTCTTGGTAAGAAAGTCTTGGTAGGAAGGTTCTGGTAAGGTCTTCGTAAGAGGAAAGTGTTGGTAGGAAGAAGGTCTTGGTAGGATGAAGTCTTGGTAAGAAGAAGGTTTTGGTAGGAAGTAGTTCTTGGTAGAATGTAGGTCTTGGTAGGAAGAAGGTATTGGTAGGAAGGTCTTGGTAGGAAGGTCTTATGAAACCAACATTGTAAGCGCCCGTGGCGGCTGCTTTTTAATTAGCTCTAGTTAACATTTTAGAACATTTAAATTATATAGGGCTTTTTCTGACCATCTAACGTTTTAATATTCTTCAAGATATTCTAAAGAGTATGTCAAGCTATGTTCAACAGCTTTATCGTTTGTTGTTTCAACGAAATGTGAACTTATTTATGCCGTACTTTCAACATAGTGTGTTTAAGGTTACAGAACACCTTTGAGTGTTAATTTTGCCTAAACTTTTTTTATTGGTTTCCATGAAAGCATTAGACTAGTTCTACTATCTGACCAAGTTTGAACGAAAAATGTTGAAAACTCGCAGAGTTATTTAATAAAATACATTTCGCTGCAATAAGAAAAACATTGAAAATGTAATATTCAAATTCAATTTTCTCCCGAAAAAGTTTACGGTAATTACTGATTTTCAAACGAGTTGTGCTCCTGCGGGTTTTAAACAATTTTTCTCAAATTTTCACAGGACATAGCTAAAGACGTCAGTTTCAAAATTGTGTTCGGCTTTTTTTTTATTTTGGATATTTTAAAAATAAAGAGCAATTCACTCAAACAATTCAAAAATATATTGCAGTCGTCAAAGAAATCGCCATATCAGCGGAATGACGAAATAAACAAAAATTTCCGAACACATTTTTTTAGAACAACTATTTTGCTGTATAAAAATGATATTTTCATAAATATAACTTAAAACCAGCAGGAGCACAACTCAAAAGCGTAACGGTACCGCGATTTAAGATTTTCCAGAATAATTCTTACATTCTTTTATTGTTTGTTAATGTTACAACTTTACCATATTTTGCATGCACTGGAGAACATTTGGTGAAAATTTGATGAAAATCGGACTGATATTGAGCGCGCAGTAGCGATTTTCCGAAAACGCCAAAAAGGGTGTCCTGTAACCTTAACGATTTGCAACGAGCTTCATCATTACTAACATATTCGCCAGGCTCTGTTCGCCATGTAACTACGTGGTATGTCGCAAAGAACAATCTGGTAGACAAGTATACTTAGACAAGACTCTTTCGCGGTTGTAGAGCTGGGAAGGCAGTCAATTGTCTCCCACAAAACGGCACATTAAACATTCAAGTCATCACATAATCTCGCAGAAATTGCATACCAAATTCAAGTTCTGAATCTCAAGGTTGTGGAAGGAGGCGAATTCACTTGGTGGAATGCAGTCAGCCACTCGTACAAACCAACATCATTCCTGACACATATCAACACGGGACGAAATTCTAGTCTTGAATCAATTGTTCACATCATCAGGCCATCTGAGGCCAATCTCTCTAACACTCACCTTATCCAAATTGGCTGAGCACCAGCTGTGCTAGTACCCTGGATTCCAGAGCCTTCGACAGTAAATAATAAATTGAAATGTCGCGATGGCTCTGGTTCAACGGGGCGATTCTTTTATTAAACCGCGCCAATCACAAAACAGAATTAGTGGTTTTAGTACAGAATGGTTTAATAAAAGAATCGCCCCGTTGAACAAGAGCCTTCGCGACATTTCAATTTATTATTTACTGTCGAAGGCTCCGGAATCCAGGGTACTGTGCTAGCAAAGCTTGCTACAGAAGCTTTAGTTAGCATGATTCATACTTGGACGAACGCCACGGATGGTAAGAGAGCCACCGTAAGGGTGGTCGTGTTCGATATCAAGAAAATCATTCGATCTTATTCACCATCACATACTGATAAGGAAACTGCACTCCTACAACATTTCTGATGCAGTTATCTCATGGATTACGGGTTTCCTTACCTCATCGAAATAGCGAGTGAAACTTGGTCAGGACTGCTTTTTCGAGTTGGGCGTGGTGTCAGCGGGGGTCCCTCAAGCCACAAAACTGGGACCCTGCCTATTTACTGTAATGATTGACGAGCTTCACTTCCCCAACACAGAATTGTGGAAATATATCAATGATACCACCACGTCGGAAACGATAGGAAGGAATCAAAACAGTAACATCCAGACGGCTGTAAGCACCCTAACGAACCACGTAGCCACAGACAAGTTCCAGCTTAATGAAGAGAAATGTAAAGAACTGCGTATTTGTTTCAGCACTAAGAACAAACAAATTTTCGATCATACTGTTATTAATGACATTCCTATTGATACTGTAACTGACGCCAAGATTCGTGGGCTTAATGTATCTTATAATCTTCAATGGCCACATCGATATAGTTATAAAGAAAGCTCGGAAACGTCTGTACAACCTATCTCAACTCAAACGCTCGGGCCTGGGAATTACCGAGCTAATTCAATTTTAATGTACCTGCATCCGTCCTATTACAGAGTACGCGTGTCCAGTTTTCCACGACATCATCCGGCCTATCTTCAAAAGCGTGCAATGCGGATAATTTTTCCTTTCCGCTCATACAAGGAAGTGCTACACGAGTCGTCAAACCATGGTGTCAAGCCATCGTGGACAGCTTGTCCAAGAAAATAAGCGAAAATGGTGAACCATTTGCTTTCCGCACGCAACCCACTAAACCGGAACCTTAGATACCAGCGTACATTTAGACCCACCTTTAAAACAAATCGATTTCGTAATAGTTTTATAACCTTTAACGCCCTTAAGGCCCAATGCTGTTTTAGTGCATAGAATCTTTAAATTTAATTTTAAAAACTCATTAATAATTCAGCAGCAAAACACAAAGAAAAATCATAAGCGTGTCGTGGTTTTAGATGTGATAAAAAATCATGTTAATTTACATACATTTTAGCTTTGATTTTCTCGGTTTAGACAAAGTTTATTTCAAAAATTACTTCGCCAATGAACTCCTATAAGATGAGTCATTTTTTAAGTCATTTAAAGCACTTGTATAGTCGTGTTTTATCACATTCGTGTCGTAATTTCCATTTACTCTGTTCTTGTTCTTTTTAAAAAAAATATGTAAATGTTTTATGACGTAAACCCCTCGATGAACTTCATAGCTCTTGGGCAAACGTCATTTAATAAATTTATACGTTTATATAAACATTATTTAAATTATAAAGTCAATCAAACGTGTCGTACATCTAACCTAGCGCCTGTTAAGATCGTTGGTCGTGGTCCCGCTAAACCGAAGTTGGTCCCTGTTTGTATGGTCATGAACGCAAGATCATTAGCCAAAGTTGATGCTCCACCTGCATTGTTTGCAGAACTTAAACATAATAATGTCGATATATGTATTGTGTCCGAAACCTGGCTAAACAATACCATACCAAATCACTTGATTTTCCCAAATGGTTATACAATCATACGAAAGGATCGCTGTGAACGAATTGGCAGCTATTCGATTTGGGAAGTGACAACACTTTCGAGTGCTTGTGGGGTAAAGTCCAAACACAAAACTCTATGTGCTACATTGCAGCTTTGTATCACCCTTCTGATGGCAATCAACAGACTTCACTTGAGCTTATTAACCATCTTATGGATTCCTGTGAATTAATATAATACAATCTACAGATCCAAATGCCAAAATTGTAATTGGGGGTGATATCAACCAGCTTGATATCAGACCTCTACTTAACCAACTTTGCCTCAAACAAATGGTCAAGTCACTTACGAGAGGCCAGCGTATTCTTGAAGTGTTTATAACTAATGCTCCGCATCTTTGGACTAAGATCTCAATTCAGAATTGTCTTGTAAGTTTGACCACTCATCGGTCCTAATTCTACCACGAGTTCCTTGTAAAGCTGTTAGGAAAACTGTAATTTTTCGAGATGTGCGTGAGCAAAATAAGATTGCCATTGCATGTTCGTTCTTTAGAGAACTGTAATTGGGACGACGTCATATTAATTGAAGATACAATACAAAAAGTGCAGCTCCTACAAGATAAGCTTGCTAATCTTTTTAACGCAAATTTCCCTTGTAAGAGAATTAGAATGTCCAGTCGTGACCCTCCATATATGTCTCCTCTCGTTAAAGCCCTGCTGAAGAAACGGAACAGTGGTGAGACAAACCCGTATATACAAGAGAGAATCAATGCTCTCATAAGAAGAAATCAAGCTCAGGCTGTTAGAGAAACCAGCCAACAACAGCCAAGAGCAACAAAGAAGTGGTGGGCTACAGTTAATTCGATTACTGGCCGTAAGAGTACAAGTGCTCCTATCACGTCTATTCTAAACTCAGATGACATTAACCGTTATTTTCAATTAATAAACACTGATCCTAATTATTCTGCTCCTTGTCAAGTTTCAATCCCAGAAGGAACTCCTATTCCTGTCATACCTGAATATACAGTGCAGAAATTCGTATTAAATCTGAAACGAACAAGCTCAGGCCCGGATGAATTGCTTTTCTGGTTATGGAGAGACTTTGTATATGATTTAGCACAAGTTATAACCTCCGTCTTCAATTCCTCCTTGAAATATCAGACAGTGCCTTTATTGTGGAAAATGGCAAACATATCACCCATACCGAAGGAAGTACCCCTAAATCAATCAAATCAACTTCGTCCTATATCAGTAAGCAATGTTATAATGAAGCTATTTGAAAAGATCGCGTACCAGAATAAATTATACCATCTGAATGCCGAGTTTATTGGTGATGACCAGTATGCATACAAAAAGGGATTAAATTCAACAATGGTCCTGCTCAAATGTCAACATAAGTGGCTCCAATGGTTGGAAAGTGATGCTTATTGTGTCAAAATTTTTAGTTTCGACTTTAGTAAGGCTTTCGACTCAGTCCCACATGATATTGTTTGCAACAAACTTAAACACCTGAATATTAATCCATAGATATACAATTGGATAGTAAGTTTCTTATCCGATAGGAAACAGCGTGTGAAAGTTGATGGTGTGTTAACAGAGTTTTTGGACATAAATAAAGGAGTTCCTCAAGGAACCATCTTAGGCCCGATATTATTTTCCGTGATAGTTAATGATATCAAAGTCACCGATCCCACATGCAGTCTCCTAGAGAAATTCGCGGATGACTTGACTCTTAGAGTCCCCATTAGAAAAAAGCGGAAGTGACATCTCGAGTTTGGAGGTATCGAACATCAGGAAATGGACAGGAGAAAATAGAATGGATTTGAACCTGGATAAAACCTAGGAAATGGTATTGAAGGGAAATTCACTAAAACCTCTCCCTGATCCACTCCAGTTATCGAACGTAAGGAATGGCTTAAGCTACTTGGTGTGTTATTCCAAAACAACCCTTGTAACTGGGACATGCACCTTAAGTATATCCTTAAGAAAGCTAGTTCACAACTCCATATCTTGAGAGTGTGTAAATTTTATGGGTATGCTACAGATGATCTTTACTTACTTTTCAACAGTCTTAGCATGCCAACACTGTGTTTTAGCATAGAGGTGTGGGGATGTGTATACAAAAATAAGTACCTGGAACAGGTAGACAGTTTTCTTCGCCGTGCATATAGGTTTGGGTATATTAGCCACCCTATTACTATTAATGATGTTGTTAGTGAACGAGATCTCAAATTATAGAGTAAAATTTTAAGTAACCCTGGTAATCCATTAACTTAAACAAGCTATTACCACCAAAAGGACAAGGTGTTTGAGAGAGCGCAAACACAATTACATTTTACTCAAAGTTAGGACTGAGAGATTTAAACGAGTATTCATAAACAGATCTTCGAACTTTAGATACATGCATGCTTTTATAATATATTAGTTACCATGCATGTTATACTCTTGTAAATATAGAATCTTAGCGATGTACGTATTTTAAACGTAAAACTCTTAAATCTGTTAAGGGTTATTACCTTCATTAAATACTATTATTATAAGGTCTTGGTAGGACGAAGTTCTTGGTAAGAAGATAAAGTTGGTAAAAAGAAGGTCTAGGTAGGAAGAAGGTAGGGCCGTAGCTAGCATGTATAGTTGCGGGACGGGGGGGGGGTGTTGGCCAAAAATTTCCGAATGTCGAAAAAAATTTCCGAATATTTCATGGCATAGGAAGCCACGAAGGTGTTTACTATCCGGAAAATGAAGACGCAATTTACAAACAAAAATACGCATATTTTACGCACAGACATATTACAGAAGCATGCAGTGCTGTAGGAAGCTCTTTTTATTGGGGGGGGGGGCTGAGAAACGAGGGCAGAAGGCCCAAGGAAATTTTTAAATTTAGAGTCTCTGAAATGCCATTTCCTGGACTTTGGGGGAAGTTTTGACAGAATTCTGATGGTCAGAAAACAGCGTTTTAGTTTGTCGAAATTTACAATTTGCTTACAATTTAGTAGCACTAATTTAAATGGGCGAAGGCGTATTTAATTAACTATAAATTGGAGAAGTTGCAGGAAAGTACGGGTAATATGATTCTTTGCAGATGGTCATGATAATGTAGCCGCTTAAAATTAATCAATTGTCAGTATTTTAAAGGTATATTATTTAAATGATAAAGGTCTGCATGATTTTGAAAAAAGAATGATTATTAGGAAATTATTGGGAGGGTTGCAGCTCCCCAGCCCCGGTTGCTAAGTTGCGATTTATACTAATAAACTCAAAAGAATATTTACCGATTTACAATTTGTTAAATGTTATCCATGTAAATGCCATGATTTCGTAAATCAGTTTAAACCAATAATACAATTATATATTTTCTTTGTTTAAGAACTAAAATTTTGCTATACTTTTATTGCCGATTTTCCGAATATGTTAATTCTAAAAAAGTTGGGAGGGGGGGGGGGAGGGGTTAAACCCCCTCCCAATACAACCCCCCCCCCTCGCTACGGCCCCAGAAGAAGGTCATAGTAAGAAAAAAGTTTTGGTAAGAAGGTCTTGATAGGAAGAAGGTCTTTGCAGGGATGTCTTGGTAGGATGAAGGTCCTGGTAGGAAGGTAAAAATAAGGTATTGGTAAAAAGGTCTTGGTAAAAAGATGATCTTGGTATATGGATGGAACTCAGTCTAGTTCCGATATATCACCCACTTAAACTGACTTGACTATGTAGCTCGGTTGGTAGAGCATTGGGCTTGCAAACCAAATGTCGCGGGTTCGTCATCGGCTTTCCCGGTGTGGAGGTCAGAGGCAACGTCACAAACATACTTCTTGATCTTAGTGCATAACACCAAAAACAAAAACAAAAAATTCATCATAGCTCGTTTACCTCGGCAAGGGTTGCGGTCCACAGGCGGAATTCAAAAGTGACAATGAACCGATCATTTGCTCTCAGTTCATTAATATAGCATACAAATGCTCCTGGGGTGGTGGTACGAGGTTTCTAAAACAAAAATCACAGTTAATTAATAATCGAATCTAGTTTAGTACTTTATAAACCAAGTTCTATTGCTTGACATTAGGCTAATATGGAAGATAATGGTCGAAAATGCAATAAATATGAAATATGGCCAATTTCAAACTATTCAGAATTTTCCGCCCCAGTAGACAAGACGTTTTGCAGAGATTTGTTGTTTTGAGCAACAATGCCAACAAAGTAGGGTAAATTAAAAACTATACACTGTTTGATTTCCTCTAACGTAAAAACTATAAAAGATCTTGCACTGAAATAAGTTTCATTGCATTCAGAAAGGGCTAACTAAGACATAATGATACGTAACACTTAAAAGATAGAAGTAGTTGACGTTGCAGAGTGTTTCAGAAATTATCGATCAAACTATATTTGAAAACATAAATTATAAACTATAGTTGAAAAGATAAATTGTCTTAATTTTTTACTCTAAAGGATTATACGGAAGGATTTTTCCAAAATTTTATCATTTTCGCTACGTTTTGGGCATTATAATTGTCCGTCTCTGCAGGCTATGAAATACAAATTACAAAAAAAACATAATTATTCTATAATATAATAGAGTCAAAAAGAATACTATTTGAACGGAGGCGAGAGTTTTGGAAAGAACATTTGTTGCAAGTTTTAAAAGAAAGTTTATTTGAAAACGTATTTGCCTTCCCAGCTTGGGATGCTAATTCGTAACTGCAAGGAATTTTCATCGTCCTTTACATTTTTATTCTCAGTTTAAAGATACCTCGTTTAGATTTGTACCAAAGACGCTGTAAAGCAAACGAAGTTCAACAGGTAAAAAGGTGATTGCTGGTATAATGGCATGGGGTTCCTGTCCCGAGTAAGCTAACAAAGCAACGTTTGACAAGTTACTTTTGGCATTCTCACAAATGGTAATTCAACTTTAAAACATCAATAGCGCAGTCAATATTGCATGGAAAATTATATGTTATATATCAAAATCCAAGTTGTCCCTTTCTGAATACAATGAAACTTACGTCAGTGAAATATCTTTTATAGTTTTACGTTACAGCAAATCAAACAGTACACCCCCTCGTACACCCCCAGCTAATTCCCACGTACATTATTTGGTCTCTTAATAATGGTGGACTTCTATTGTCCAACATTGTTAAGCAGGCGTTATTTTTTTGCAACAGTAAGTTGCGCTATTCATTGCAATTATGAGATCAGGGTACGAGGTTCAATAATCACAACACAACACCTACAAAATTATGAAAGTTTTATTTTGGACATACCAGCTCCTGCACAAGTCGTCGTTGTCTTTGACTTTTTTCATTGTTCTACAACATTGAAATATTAAAAGATAGAATATTTATATTTAGCATATACTTGTGAGGTGGATAGTGCTTTCCACGCAATTTGATTGGTTGCTCAGCACCGAATATCCTTGCACTATTCATCTCCGAACAAAAACAAAATCGCTTCCTGTTCCGTTCTGGTTGCAGACGAGCAAATGTTTCTACTAAACGAAGCTACGGTTTCGCAGAACACGAAAAAAGCCACAAGTTTTGTTTTAAGAGTGTGTAGATGTATTCTTTATTAAAGCTATATTTCTAATGATCAAAAATGATAAAAAATTACCGAAAGTGTGTAGGCCCTAAATACGGTTTCGTTTACAACTATTACAAGAGCTGAAATACAAATTGTTTTAAAAATATTTTCTTCTTTTTAAGTCATTCTTGTTTTGTGGTAGTATATGATAAAACAATTATTTACCTCAGTGTTGGTGAATTCAGCGTTCGGTGAACATCCTTGCATTATTCACCTCCAATTCAGTGAATAATTGTTAAATAAACGGCACAATCAAATATTTTTGGCAAACTTTGCAATCAAAGAAAAGTCAGGAAGAGTACACAACCACTAAGAGAAAGATGCCAAAGAAACAATATTTTGAACCATTCACAAATAATTGTTAATATTTTTAATTGAAGTTAAAACGTAGAAAAGTCACTTAAAGGCCGGCGCAGCACACTGGAGCTATATGCTCAGCCAAATGCCACACGTGCCCAATGGCGTAAGGAGATAGCTCTCGTGTGCGGGCGATTTACGAACGACTTTTGTCATTCGTGCCACTTACGGCAAATATCTAACATGTTTGATCATTTCTGCCTCGCGTGCCAAAATCTTTCTATGTGCGGCGAACGAAAGCTATCTGCTTGCGGATTGTTGCAACAGCGCATGCGTAGTATACGAAAGTAAACATCCAAGATGGCGGCTCAAAATGAATTGCTGGCTGAGGCAATTTTAGAAG